AAACAAAGAAATGGTAATAGAAAAAAAAGAGAAAGACCTGACAAGATTTCTGAATATATGGCTAGCAGCTAAGAATAAAAACAAACAATTAGAAGATATTATCAAAAATGAAATATATATGATTACAAAATGAATCAGTAAAAAAAAAACTTTTCTAGTATATATATATAGTATATATCAACAATATGGTCCTTCTACCAAGAGTTGAATTTAGATCACAGCTAAAAATTTTATCAAAACGCTAATGTGACTAGCTGCAGAGCTTTTTGATGAAGATAGTATTTTTCATAATCTGGTTTGGTTCGAGTTTTATATAAAACCAGACTCGAACTAAAAAAATAATTCGGGTCTATACCTAAACCCAGAACCAGAATACTAAAACCCAAAACTAAACCAAAACCCGATTAATTATTTATTAAATACTATATTAATAAAATAGCAATAAATAACCAGAATGATGTTACAGGGGTTAATTAAAGTCTATATTTCTCTAAAGTCTTGCTCAAATAACTTGGTTTATTTGGTTATATACTCGCACCTTTACTACGATCGTTCCAGTATTAACACCTTGCTTCTTTACTTAGTAATGACTCCAACCTTCTATCTTAAAGCACCACTGTGTTATAAGTTAGGTTCTTTTTTTTAATTTACTATAAAAACAAATAGAAGTAGAGGTTGGATTTGTAAGATTGAACCCCATATTTATTTAATTAGCATATAAGTTTACATCATATTTTAGTTACACACATTTGACTTTTAATTAACTTATTATCATCACAACACTTTCTATTAACCCTTATTACAACCATATCAATCGTCATATGTCTTATTTTAGTATCCAGAGATGCTAAAATTGAGAAATATAATTTCTATAATAAATTTTTTTTTGTTTATTTATTTATTTATCATACTCTGCTTGTATTTCTGATGAGTACATTGTGTGTTGTGTTATTTTGTCACAATAGCATTAATGATCTAAATGACCTGAATAATTTGAAATCATTTAAATTTTGATCAAATAACTAGATCATTTGCCATCTCTAACCTGAGTAGATACATTTATTCAATTAAATAATAAATCAAAATTGAGCTATATTTATAATTGCTAAAAAACAAATAACAAATATTTATTTTTAATTCTCAAGCATGCTAATTTTATAGCTATAATGAATTACAGGTTTAAAATTATCATAATTATTTATTCTAACTTATTTTTGATAGTATATAAATGTTTTATATATATTATTTTAATATCATTTCAAATTATTTAATTCCTATTTATAACAATAAAGGACATAACAAAAATCAGGTGATTTTTTAGGGAAGGAGGGTAAAAAATTTAAAATTATATAAAAAGACCTAATCAAGATATATAGTAAGAGGAGGGAGAAGAGTAAGCCTTTGATAAAAAAAATCAGATGATAAATGATACTGCTTCAATCTTAATTTTGATATTTAGTTAATCAAAAGCATTAGTAATTTGAATAAGGATATCTAATAAATTAATTTGTTTATAATAATATTATACTGCTGTGAAGAACTAACAACTATCAATTTGAATATAAAATTTAGATGATTTATAATCTATTTATTATCCCTTAAACTATCCGGTTTAGCGGACAAATTTGTCTGCTAAAATAATTGAACAAAAATATTATATTTAAAAAAAAATTTTTAATGAAAATCTTTATTCTAATCAGCTATTGCAATTCCCAAAGACTTGATCCACACATCACACTCAATAGCCGCAGTGTGATATACTCGAATTGGTTTAATCGAAAGGCATAAGTTCATACAACGGCTGTAAAATGTGTCATTTAACCTATATTTTCAGGTCACTTTATTTTCCCAGCATTACTCACAAAAATCTGTTTTGTGAAGTTGATTATGAAGAATATTAAGTCAATTTTAATATTATATTATAAAAGGTACCCCCATGTGACGATTGTAAAGATTTTTTATAATTGTCATATGAAGGTTGCCTTTTTTATATTAAATTTGGCCATAAATATCATAGTACGATCAACCCTATCTTGGTTATTTTGAGAGCAATGTTGAGGAGGCTTCACAAGATAATAGTTACATGATAACTAACACATAGCATGCTTTTATTTTAGCTTAGGGAATATGGGGGGTGGCTTAATAAAATTTTGCACAATTGTAGAAAAATAGGCCAAAAAAAATTTTAGCGGACAAATTTGTCCGCTAGACAGTTTAAAGGATAACTTGACTAAAAAAAGAATCATATAAAGATAACTAGTATTTTTACTAAAAAAAAAGAAAATCTATTAGTTATTATTTATTCAATTTGTTTTTAATAAATTTATATGTATAGTATCTAATTAATCTTGATATTCCTTTCACCATAATCTTAAATACATAGCTGATCAAACTGTTTTCTCACTTAGTCTGTTCCATTTATTAGTTATCATATCACTGCTAATACTAAATACCTGTTTACCTGAAATACTTGTTCCAGAAATTAAAAGACAATCTTGTATAAATTTTGCAAGATTTGGATAATTTTCCTGATTTATTTGCCACTATTCTAATATATTAATATTTGGGTCTGCATGTGGCATTGAGGAATAGATATCTAATTCACTTTGTTAATCTGTATTTATTGGCTTATAAATCTGTGTTATTATTGTAGACTGTATAATAGTTTTATATAATGTATTTTGATTAGAAAATGATGCATATTCATTTTTATACTTATTTTTAATAATATTTTTAATATCAACAATGAGTTGTAGTAGGAAATTAAGTGATTCAAAAAAATAAAACTTAAGTCATAGATCTAATACTACTGAAGCAAGATGTAAAACATTTGTCTTATTACAATAATTTATAAGTTTTTTTTGCAGCATCACACTCTTGAACAAGCCAAAATAATAGATCATATTTGTTTTTAACTTTTTCAAGAGTTTCAAACAGTGTATAATATAAAGGAACAGTCATTGTTAGAGTCAGATATTTTGATGCAGACATAATTTTTGTTGCATTTTTGAATGGATGCAAAACCTCAACTAGAGCTTGATTTTTTTTCTAGTTTTCATCTGTAAATATATATTGATGTAATTTTATTTTAGCAAAGTTATTGAATCTAATACAGCTTTAAGTACTATTGCTTGTTCATATATATCATATATGGAATTCTATTTGGTAACCACATCAAGAATTGGTTTCATTGCATTTATATTATGTATTAAACAAGTTGTTTTTAGCTTTTTGCGACATAATTATGATTCTTGAATGCATTTAATTAAATTATATAGTTTATTTAGCTCAACTCCTATAATACTTAACATGCTATGAACTGCAAGATTTAGAATATGAGCGAAACATCTTATGAATTGTTAATTATAATCAAATTGCAAATCTAATTGTGTCATAAGACTAGAAAAATCTTGTACAAATTTAATATTAAAAAAAGCATTGTCATGTGTAATTGCAATCAACTTTGATAAAATTTTATTAGATTGAAGATAGTATTTTATATTATTAACAATTTTAGAATCTAAATGTGGTTCATCTATATTTATAAAATCCAAAAGAATATTTTTTAATTTTCAAAATATATTTATATAATGAAGTGTAATTGCCATAAATGATTTGTTATTATTATCTGTTGTTCATATATCAGTTATTATTAAAAGTTTTTTAGAAATTTCTTGTAATCTTACATAAAGCTTATTACATTCTTCTTTAAAGTTATTGATAATATGTCTCTTTACCAAATTAGCTAATAGTGTAATAGCATTAGTTCTAAATAAAAAATATTTTTTTAAAATCATCATCTTCTATAATATTAAATGGTCGATTGTATTTAACAATCTAATATTTGATAAGATTTTGAAAATATGCCAAATTAAAAGATTCATGAGGATGATTATTAACAGATGATTAATTTTTTAGTATATCTATGATAGTGATATTTGATTTTTCTTTATCTAATTCAGACACCTTTCCTTTATGTGTAGTAAGGTGTTTTTTAAGACTTGATATTGAGTTTTTAGTACATTTTATTATTTTTTTGTTTTTAGAACAAAGCCTACATTTAGCATAAGGAGTGTTTTTTTTTTATCAAAGTACTTCTATATGAATGATTTATATATAGAATATTTCTCACTAGTAACAGTTTCTGCTTAAGATGATTTATTATCTTCTAAATTATTAGATCTATTATTATGAAGATCATTATAAGAATTGGCTTGAAGATTATTATAAAGATTAGAATAGAGATTATTATAAGAATTAGCATAGAGATCATTGTAAAAATCAGTATAAAGATTATTAAAAGAATTTGTATGAGGATCATTATAAGAATCAGCATAGAGATTATTATAAGAATCTGTATAGGAATCATATACATAATCGTCTGTAAAAGATTGGTCTGTATAGAGATGTGAATTATCATAATCTTTTATTATAATATAGTAATAGATAATAAGTTAAACCATATCTCTTTACAAAAAATAAATATCCAAGTTTATATACTTTGCAGAATTTAAGTTTTATATTTTAATTTAATTAATTTATAAAACTTGTTATTTTAAGCCATTATTATTGTGTGTTTAATCTATTTTTAATTTATAATAATATAATTGTATTTATTTAATTACTAGCCAATATATATATTTCTGTATTTAGTTAAAAATATTATATAGAGCTATCAATCATACTATTGCTAATTATAATTAGTACAGTTTTATTTTGTTTATACTTCTTAGTACTCATTATATGTAAGGTTTGGAATAGTAATTATTTTATTGATATTACTCTGAAAAGTTCTGTGATTTGATGCTTTAACATATAAAATAAATATTGTCTTAATTTTCTAATTTAATATAGTTTTTAATGGTGGGTACTAGATTGTTCTTTTTTATATCTTTGTCTTTATATCTGAATTTAATAATCAACTTGTATGTTAAAATTACTATATGCTTTTACTAGAGTTTTTTTGATCAGTATTAAATTTAAAGATTAGAAATTTTTTTTTTACTTTTAAATTTCTTTTATTTAAATAATATGATTACTCACTCTTTCTGCCAATCATTAAAACACAAATTTTTACAGACAAACAAAAACACAAAATCAACAGAACTCAAAAACAGCACTAAGAAGCAAAGCTTACATGACTAAGTAAAAAGAAGGAAGACATAAAACAACACTTTGTCTCTTAGAAGACTAGAGTTAAAAAGTTAAAATCTATCAAGATATAGAAGAAAAACTTGGAAATATAGCAGTTTTTCATCATTTGTAAGCAATTTTTTGGAGAAAGCACTTGACCCTGTAGTGCAAATCTGTTGATATGATACAACTATGCAACATGTAACAAAAGAAAAACAATACAAACACATAAAGTAACATGTAATGAATACAACAAAGAAAATAACAACAATAGAGAAGCCAAATTACGTAAAGCAAACTGAAAAAGAAATTTCTAGAAATAAACAAGGACAACAAATTTTAGTAGTAGCAAGATATGCACTAAAGAATTTATTAGCAGAAGTAGACAAAGAGGAGTTAGAAGAATATAAGCAGAAATACAAAAAACAATACAGCAAAGATACAGAAGAAGAGTTAAATTACAGATATCACAACTATATTGTGAAAAGCAAAATTCAGGCCCTTTTATCAAATATTACAAAACCAGACATCTATGTACTAGATATTATAATAGAATGCTTACTACTACAAAAAGAACAACATGAAGAAAGATTAGAAAATGGTGTATAGAAAATTTAAACAAGTGAAGAAGAAACAAACAAGGCAAGAAAAACCAGAAAATGATATAAGAATTGGCCAGAAAATTCAAGTCCAAAGCAAAGAAAATGCTAAAAAAACTTGCAAGAGGGAAAAAAGAAAACAAGAAATAGCCGATAAAGACAGAAACAAAGAAAATCATATGGAATAATATAGAAAATATTAAAATGAAGAAAGTCTTAGAAAAAATTAATAAAGAAGCACAATATAGCATAATTAGAGCAAAGCAAAGTATGACTTATGGGAAATACTAAATGCAGAAAGCACAGTAGAAATACAGGATTTACAAAGGGTCTTAGAGAAGCTGCGAAAGAAACAAGAAGACTGGGATTTAATCATAGGAAGCAACAACAACTCAGAAGAAATTTGAAATTACCTAGAATCTAGTATAAAAGAAAATGCAGCAAAGCAAAAAGAAACACAGACCTGGAAATAGAAGAAGAAAGAAACCTAAAGAGAAAAAACAAGTATATTATCTAATACTAAAAAAATAGAAACTGCTAGAG